ATATTGAATCTTGATCCTCCGAAGCTCCGTGGGTTTCAATGACAGAAATCTTGCACCACCTCGGTGTCCATCGTCGTGAATGTTAAAAAAAGGGGTTCGGGGTTATGCTCATGTGTCGTGTCACTTGCTGTTAAATAGGCAGTGCAAGATTTCCTCCATCAACCGTAGTAGTAGTAGTAGTAGCAGTGGCAGCAGCAGCAGTAGTAGTAGTAGTAGTAGTAGTAGTAGCAGTCGTAGTAGTAGTAGTAGTAGGAGTAGGAGTAGTAGTAGTAGTAGTAGTAGTAGTAGTAGTGGTGGTGGTAGTAGTAGTAGTAGCCGTAGTGGTAGTCGTTGTCGTTGTCGTTGTCGTTGTTGCTGTTGTTGGTGGTGTTGTTGTGGTAGTGATAGTCGTGGTCGTGGTGGTCGTAGTGGTGGTGGTGGCAGGAGGAGGAGTAGGAGCAGGTACCTTTCGTAGGAAAGTAGCTTCGGCAGTCCTGGTATGGCAAGCGATGGCCAAGAGCAATGTCGTGCAGGACCTGGTGCTTGATCCGTTTCCATCATGGTAAGAAAGCTCAGCGCTGTGATGCGCTGTTGACAGACCTCGTTCTTTGCGGGTGGGTGAATGGGTGAACGATCAGGACAAGCAGCGGAGGCTGAACCGTCCAGCCTTGAGAAAAGCAATCTTCCAGAAACGGCAGGTAGCGCGATATACATGGCGTTTAAATTCAATTCAACGGGTCATAGTTGCCGAACCATGGGTACCTACAAGCATCACAGTGATGGAGACTTCTCAGCCCAGTTAGGTACGTGTAATTGCCCTACTTCATGGGACTAGGTCCCAGCATCAGGATGCAGTGGATGTGCTCTTGGCCCGGATATGGGCTCTTGCAATGCCTGGCCAGTCACGATTTAGCCCAAAGCCTTGACCCCTTACAAAACATCAAAACTTCAAAGCCTTGCCGAACGATACTTGCGTGGTGCTTCTGGTGAAGGTTCTAGTGCTGAAGACAATGCCATGTGAACATTGCTGGCAGTGAGAAGAAATCAGTGCGGATGATGGTGATCGTAGAGCCACCAAGGCCGGGGAGTCAGTTCGCTAGATGATTGGCAACGAAACCGTCGTTGTGCGAAGTGCGGGGTGGTTGAATGTGAGCAGAGAAACACCCTCAGCAGCAATCATCTCCTGATGCCGAGGTGCTGCACACCACTGGTTCGACGCGGGGTTTGGGTGGCACAAGGCTCGTTGCGGCTTGCAGAGTTGACGGTGCTGCATTGAAGTGGTCTACTTACGGTGTAGTACTGATGCTGTTCTGTTGGATTTTCAGAGCCTTTTTGGGCCGTGGAGTGGAAGAAGAAGGAAGGCTGAAAACTCACTTGCCTCCTGGCCTCTTCAACCCTGACCGCAAAAGGGCAGGGCCGGCCATGAGTTCTGCAAAAAATGAGCTGCAGGTCCCCAGATTCCCAATCTGTAAACCCTCACCCTATGACACAGAAACCTCCAATTTGGTTGAAGGTCAGTCTTTCCTCCGCACTAGCCAGGTGCTGCCTGGCCCCCGGAGAGTTAGCTTCGTTTTGTTTTTGCCGAGTTGCGGTAGTGCAGTGGTAGTGCCTAACCACCACAAAAGACAGTATCGCATGATGTAGGCCCCGGGCCATGCTTTCGTCGTGTCGTTTTCGTTCTGCACAGCACAGCATGGACTTGCCACAACACAACGTCTTATGGGGCGTTGGCGAGGGCTGATTAAGCGGTGTCAGAGTCTGCACGAGAGAGAGAGAGAAAGAGAGAGACACACAGGCATAGAGAGGGGTGTTACGGTTGACAGAGGGCATTGTGGTCTGCTTAGTTCCGAAAGGCTCGAGCCTCGCGAGTTTTTCGGCTAGGTTGACAGCCGGTATAATATATTGCCCTCCTTCCAAGCCTGCTTGTGAAGCAGCGGCGGTTTTATGGCACCAGGAATTTGCTCGGAGCCAGCCCATGTTTTCTTCTCGACATGGTGTTCTTGTTTCAGCATGGCACGAAGTCTTGGTTGAAGGATAGGACCTAGCTACATATTTCCGCTAGTCGAATCCCACTCTACGCCAGCATAGAAAGCACACCTGAATACATATTCGTGATTATGATTAGCCCTACACACATGTTACAGGTCTTCAGAGATGCAGGGCCCACTGCGGCAAATACTGATGGTGCCAAGTCCATGTTCCCAGCATTTCCCAGCCAGGTACGAGGGACCGCGTTGGTTTGCAGCATTTTGCAGCCTTATGAGTACTTATGAGGCTTGGGTTGAGTGGGGAAGTATGTGGGGTACGAGGGTGCGCGACTAGCCATTCAATTGCTCGCCATGTTGACGGCAAAACTGTGCACTGCTGCTGCTGTGCTGCACTTATTCTGCGCTGTGTTGATGATTTTCACGGACCCTCGCCGCTCGGGCTGCAACAGTGTGTGCACCAGCTGATGTGTGCAGACACTTGAGCCTCGTCTTGTTTGGGACCAAGTTCGCCTAGCCAAGCAGACTTTCATGTTTTCGCGACAGTCCAAGTATTTTCAGGCATACCGAGTCTGTATACACAAATGATTACTATGAGCAGTATGCAGCTGTTTGGCCTTCCTGTAATCACACAATGGCAGCTATGATCCGGTAGCGATTTGGAGCGTAAACTCATTTGGAAGCAAGACATATCTACGTTACACTTACACTGGAAGTAGGTTGAGTACGAAACACTGGAAGTAGGTTGAGTACGAAACTGTAAAACGGATTCACGACACTGATGTGGCACTTTCCCAAACCCTGAGTCTAAGATGCTGATGCTGAGGCCCCCAACCCAAGAGTAGTCGGAGTAGTAGCAGTAGCAGTAGCAGCAAGAGTAGGAAGTAGTAGTAGTAGTAGTAGTAGTAGTAGTAGTAGTAGTAGTAGTAGTACTATTAGTAGTATTAGTACTAGTACCCGTACAAGTACAAGTACAAGTACTAGTAGTAGAACTAGTACTAGTACTAGTACTAGTACTAGTACTAGTACTAGTACTAGTACTAGTACTAGTACTAGAAGTAGTAGTCGTAGTAGTAGTAGCAGCAGTAGTAGTAGCAGTAGTAGTAGTAGCAGTAGTAGTAGTAGTAGCAGTAGTTTTCATCCTCATCATACTTCTACTGCGATGACCACTACTAATAGCACTACTTTTGCATCTGCTACTCCAACAAAACTACTACCACTACTACTACTACTACTACTACTACTACTACTACTTCTACTACTACTACTAGGACTACTGTTGCGACTGCTGGTACTGCTACTACTACTACTACTACTACTACTACTACTACTACTCCTGCTGCTGCTACTGCCACCACCACCACCACCACCACCACCACCACCACCACCACCACCACTAGTACTACTGCCACTGCTACTGCTACTTGCTACTTACTACTTGCTACTTATTACTTCTTACTTACTACTTTCTACCCACTACTTACCACGTGCTACTTACTGCTTACTGCGTGTTACTTGCTACTTATTACACACTACTTACTACGTACTGCTTGCAACGTACAACCTACTACTTACCTCTTACTACATACTACTTACTACTCACCTTTTACTACTTACAACTTACAGCTTGCTGCTTACTACTTACTGCTTTCTGCTGCTGCTGCTACTACTACTACTACTACTACTCCTACTCCTACTCCTACGCCTACGACGACGACGACGACGACGACGACGACTACTACTACTACTTCTGAGAGTAGTCTCACAACAGATAGTATATTCAACACACTAACAGTAATGACACACAATGTATAATATTCATAACAATGCTGACAGTAACAGGAATAGGAATGATCAAAACAGTGAAGATAATAACAGTTATTGATTTAACACGGATAATGGTAATAGTGGTCGTTCCAACATGGTTGATAATGATTAAAGTGTTAGTAAATGATAATCAGCATGAGAATATCAACAGCAAGAGTAAAAATAATCATGATGATCGGAAAAACAATAAGAACAACGATGATGTCAATGACAATCACGATACAAGAACAATAGTGATGACATTGATTAGGATAATCATGATAATAGTAATGCTACCTATCGAGATGTCCAGTCATAGCAGCGTAGCAGTAAACAGCATCACCAATACCGGCAAGCAAGAGCAAGCCAAGACTGACAACAGCTGTCCGACAAGGTGTGTGTGTGTGTGATCAGTGCGAGGCTTTTCATTCCATTCGCCGGCTTTTTCATCCCCATTGACATGGCGCCCGGACTGAGCATTTGGGGGTGGGTTCATGACTTCACAGACCGGGTGAGGGTCTTGGTGTTCATAGACTTTAGGGTCTGGATCTCGAAGTGCCGAGACCTAAACCCTTGAACCACAAGTTGAAGCTTGAATCTCACGAAAACTCCCCGAACAAGGAGGCTGCAACAGCAGTGAGTTTTTGGCTGGACTTCGGAATATCTCCATGCTATGGAGATTTTGAAGTCTTCAAGTTCAGCATTCCATGTCAGGTGATGCCGCGAGTGGCCACTGGCTTCATCTCCTTCCTCTCGCTGCAGGTCTTCAGGCCGATCCGTGGATGTTTTCGAGCAGGTTTAGGGGCGGTGGAGTGGCGGGGAGGGGAGGCGCTGCTGAGGCAAGGCGAGGCCGAAGTTAACCGAAGTTGAGTCCTGGCAGTCTCATGTACGAACGACCTCAAAAGCTCAAAGGACACGCGAAGTAGTAGGAGCTTCTTTGTTTTTGAAGTACAACATCAAACGATGGTGGTTTAGTGGTAGAAGCAACTTCAGCAGTGGCGGTGGGTGCAATGGGAGTCAAAGTGGTTGTGGTGCCGGCGGCAGCAATGCTGAGTCAATGAATCCGGATCCCGCTTGATCTGGGGCTCGAGGCTTTGCAGACCGCAACGCTGGCTTTGGGTTGTGGAGCTCGGGAAGCTTCGAGATTAACTTAACACCAGTTCACACGCCGAGGTTCGAACGCATATCCTCGTATAGGATGTCTAAGGCAAAGGTCAAAGTACCCAGAAGAGCAGACGCCTGCAATGAATCTCAACTTGGAAGGACCTTGGCATATTCGATGATCCCGAAGCAGACATCCTCGCTTCTTTGGATGGACGTGCCTCATCCAATGCTTCGATGCATGGGTGTACTACTGACTAGCAGCATCATTCCCAGTTTTGTCTTGCTGATGTTGAAGATGGTGCTGGTCGTAGTGATGGTGATAGCGTCGAGGAGGTCTGGGTGGGCTTACCGGTTGCCGATTTCAGGTCTCAGGGGTTTAGGTCAACGGGTTCAAAGTGTTTCGGGACGCAGGATCAGGGTGGGGGCCTGAACCCCAATGCTGTGACCCAGGTCACGATGTTCTGCGTCACGGTGATCATGTTTGCCAGCGTCCTGGAGAATGTCCTCGCGCAGGCAGGGATCCAGGGCTCCAAGCCCTGAACCCCGAAAGCCCGTAAACTCTGAGACTTAAATCCTATAGCTAGGTGCCACCCGGTGGGCTGTCGGGCTTGGGTGTTTAATATGTTTTCGTACGAACCAAGTAAGAAGGTCGCTAAGGGGGAAGCTTGAAGGTTTTCAGGGTTTGAGGCCTGGCCCTGCTAAGAGGCTATGCGTGCCACGGTGTCGACGTACTCGGCTCGCTTCGTGGATGACGTCTCCCGGGTCAGCTTCCCGCTTGTAGGCCCGGCCCTTCTGGCTTCGGGAGCGGAAACCCTAAACCCCAAGCCTTGAACCCCAAACCCACAAGCCCTAAGACCGGCAAACCCTAAAAGGCTGAAGGTGGGTTTCGGAATGATGTGGGCTTTCCGTTAGCAGAACCTGGTTGGGATTTAATTGAGGTTTTTCGGCCCAACGAACCCCCTGAACCCATCAATCCTGTCAGAAGCACAGGGTATGAACTGCAGTATGTTGGTGCTTCGTAGTGCTGAATCACATCATTTGTGTGCATGAGAACCCTACTGATGCTCCGAAGTTGCAAAACGCACGTGATGCTTTGAATCGCAACACTTTTAGGCTTCAATGGCTGAAAATGCTTTGGCGACCTGTACTTCCATGCTTCCGAATATTGCTGGCACGGACGCACCGGAATCAAAAGCAATGTCAGCTGTCTTACTAGGAGAATGTGCAGTGCCCCAAACTTCGTGCTGGAAGCACAGAGGCCTTGTAGCCTCTAGCATGTGTAGCAGTCGACGTGCAGAAATTCCGAAACTGATAGCTCAAGTAAGGTCGAACCAGGGAAATCATGATTCAGCGCATCTGCAACCGTAGGAATGCATCTGAGCCAGACCTAAATCCGGCTCTCTGGGATGTTGTGCAAAGTGAAGCTTTGCGGTTGTGGGAGTTTGTGTTCTGTTTGCATATCACTGGGGTAAAGGCTGCGAATTTGGGCAGTTCTGCCTTCCCGACCACATATACAAAACACGGAAGAAGCCTCCTGCCTGCGATTTCCTGTTCCGTTCATAACTGTGCAGGTGTCGTGGTGCTCACAGTGCTTTTTGTCATGGGGGCTGCGAACATTGACACAACGTGGCACCCAGATGCATTATGTTCCATCTTCCATGATAGCCTGGCACTAGCAGGAGCAGCAGCAGTCGTCGTCGTCCTCGAAGCTTTCTGTGTCGTAGCTGTAGCGGCAGTCATCGTCATCGTCGTGCTTGTAGACTTAGTAGTATAGGCAGTAGTCGTCGTCGTCGGTAGTGGTGGTGGCGTCGCTGTTGCAGTATCTGCTGCTGTTGTTGTTGCTGTTGTTGGTTGTTTGTTGTTGTTGCTGTGGTTGTGGTTGTGGTGGTGGCGGGTGTGGTCGTGGTCGTGGTCGTCGTCGTGGTGGCAGCGGCAGGGTGATGCCGGCAGCTGCTGTTGCTGCTTCTGCTGCTCCTCCTACTTCGGCTTCTTCTAGTACGGCTAGTACTTCTACTAATTCTACTACTTCTATTAATTCTACGAAGTTCTACTGCTTCTCCTGCTTTACTGCGGCAACTGCTTCGACTACTTCTTTCTACTGCTTCTACCACTTCTACCAATTTCTACCGCTTCTACTACTTCTACTACCTCTACTTCTTTCACTACTTCTACTACTTCGTCGGCGACCACGACGGCGAAGTCTACTACGACTTCTACGACGACTACTACACCACCACTACCAC